ATTTTAGATGTCAAAACCTTTAATTCAATATTACATTAGTATAACAATAGTGTTCTGATGCAAAAGATAACTTGTTACAATAAGTTTGTGTACCTGTGCTATTGGATGTTACATACGACTGAAGATTTACAGTCACCATGAAATAAGAAATGGAAGATGAGATCCTGTAAAGTAAAAGATAAAAAGTAAGTAGTTAAAAGTCTGATAGTGAAGTATTTTAGCTGTTGACAAGCATTTCAGTCTTGTCTAAAGCAAAGGACATGGCAACTCAGAAATCACTTTGCATTTAATTCAGGTTTTTTTTAAGCACCAAATCAGTAAAACAAATACTCCAAGGCGCTTTATGTCGTAAGTTAAGGACTCTATAATAATACATTAAAATTCTTTACTCTTCTCTGGTAATACCTTATTTAACCTACTTTGTGGAGGTGTGGGTGAATACATTATAACTGGTGTACATTCTGCAGAAAAGTAACAAGAATTGCACGTCTTACTGGGTTTTGTGAAAGCACAATTTTTCTTTTCTTACTGTCATGTTTAAATTCTGCAACCCTGTGGAATTCAAATTAGAAAAAAAGGAACAATTGAGTGTTCATAATTTTTCTGTTGGGCTGGGGGACGGGGTACAATTTAAAAGGCAAATTAAATTCAAAGATTCACAATATTCAGATTAAAGGAGCGCATCTCAGTTATGATAGGGCCAGAGGCAGGGTAGACCCTGGACAGTTCTCCAGTCTGTCACAAGGCTAACAGAGTGACAGACAACCATTCACACACTCATTCATATCTATGAGCAATTTAGACAGACCAGTTAACCTAACCCTACTAGCTGCATGTCTTTGGACTGCAAAGGGGAGAATCCACACAAACACAGAAACATTCAAACCTCAGACAGAAAGGCCCTGGCCGAGTCGCACCTTCAGGACCTTCTGATGTGAGGCAATAGTGCTAACCACTGCGCTCTACCAAATATGAAACACTTTAATAAAAAATTTTTTCTCCAGTATAAGGCCATAGAGGGGTGTTAAATATGTTAAGAGTTGAAATAAAGCAATCAACCAATCATTCAAAATTATGACATTGTGCTATGTTCAAAGCACTGAAGGCCAGACTCTTCGTCTGATGCTCCTTTTGTTTTTCTGATAGTCAAAAACAAGTCCCCCAATTTCTGTTTACACACACACTTCCTCCTTAAACCTGATGTTCAGTTCCAAACTCCTTATCTGATGTTTTAACAACAGGAGATTACATCTCATCAGGATGAATTGGTAAACTAGTACATGCTTATGTTCTCATTCACATACACACACAACCTCTCGATTAGTTTTCTGTTGAAACCTTGTCACTAACCTTACTTCCGTCCACAGACTCTGATGTTGGCATGACAACTGTGAATCGCTGCCTGGATGCAGCCAAGGCTTGCAATGTGGACGACTTGTGCCAGAAGCTCCGCACAGAATATGTCTCGGCTTGTATCAAACCCACTGCCAAGTCAGGCCTGTGCAACCGGCCCAAATGCAATAAGGCCCTGCGCAGGTTCTTTGACCGTGTTCCTGCTGATTATACACATGAGCTGCTCTTCTGCCCATGTACGGACACAGCCTGTGCAGAGCGTCGAAGGCAGACCATTGTGCCCAGCTGCTCGTATGAAACGGTGGATAAACCCAACTGCATTGCACAGATGAGGATCTGCAAAGCTGACTATGTGTGCAGGTAGGAACAGAAGTAAATACGTAATAATAGACTAATAACAGACTCCACTTGGCAAATGTATGCATCAAAACATAAAGGAGGTTCGCTTGCATCCGTAAATTATTTATATAATATCAACATGTTATTGGTTTCTCCTTACAAATATTATTTTTCAACAGTTTTTTCAGTTTTTGGGAAATAAATAACCAGCAGATATAATCAGACACCTCCCCAGTGAGGTCATGGTTGTACTTCTTGTTCTGCTTTGGAGCCAAAACCAGTTTTTCACCTGCTACAGGTTCTGGCTAGAGGGTAATTCAAGCCTGAAGTAAATTTTCCAGGGCAGAACAAGACTAACATCACCAGCTCCTGAAGTTAGTTTCTCTCTGGAGAAGGTAGCTGGTGAGAAAGCAGGAAACGGAAAGGACTGAACAGCAAAAACGAATCTTTCAAAGTAAGAGCGAGGGTATTACCAACTAGTTAATCAATTGCAGATGGCATTTTCTCTCAGAAGGAGAAAAAAAAAAATCAAAGTTTCTAAATGCAGCCTTCTTCGGGAACCTGCATGAGTAAAAGTTTTTTGTTGGAAAGCATTTATCACTATGCATCTTATTTTGATACAGCAACACACGGCACTAAGATAATTGTTTACTCCAGCTTTGATATTGCTAAATACTCTAGTTTCTCTTGTTTTTCTTGGATATAGATTTTACTTGTATTCTCCATACATATTTAGGCCAGTGCTGTTCAATCGTATGGCTCTTTGAAACTAAATAAACAGCCACTCAATCAACAAAATGGCCCGCTGTTTTACCCTAAAGCTTTGTACCACCAGTGGTTAGAACACCCCAGAGAGCCTGTTGGAATAACACATTAAATATTTAGCACAGATAAAGAGCCAGATGGATCAGAGTTATCACTCATTGCTATCTCTGGTCATGGCCATTATTTTTCCACAGCCCCATTAGACTCAGAGGGCTTTACTAATGATCCCAGGTCTGGGGAATGAAATATATTACTCTTTCTATCACTTTCACATTACAGCTCAGTGCTTTCACTCTTCACCATGGCCTGCAATATTTCTTTAATGTTGGAGCAGCAAACTCTTAATTAAAAATGACGGAGTTATAACTTAAGTTACTTAGAGTAAGAAATGATATGTAAAAATGAAATCAGCAAACCTTTTAGATAAAAATGTAGAGTTCTGTTGTGTTCTTCCTAACTAGTATGCATTTTGTGTTTTTATAGGTCTCGTCTGGCACAGTTTCAGTATGACTGTGAACCGTCCAAAACATCTGCCAGTGGCTGCAAGCAAGAGAACTATGGAGCCTGCCTCCTTGCCTACACAGGGCTTATAGGTATGTGAACATCTGGAATGTAACACGGAGAGCGAAAACACAGTCGAAAACATAAAATCAACACCTGTAGGAGGAAAAAGACAGTATGTAAGTGACGCTGTGTGGCATATGTTGGGAGAGAGAAGGAAAGAGAAAACTGTGCAGCCTTAAATGCACCGGAATGAGCAAAAGCTAGCTAGAAGCTAAATTAATAAATACAGAACAGGTTAAGATTGAGTGGGAGAACGAAAAGACAAAGTTCAGCTTGGTATAAGATGGTATAAGTATAAATATCTCTCATTGCAGAAAAAACTGAAGCTCTTTATGCAGAGTGAGGCTTAATCTGTTTTATAACAGGTGGCAAAAGAAAAGGAGCAGGTAGAGCAGACATTTCTTTTCCATGCACTGGAAAGAGGAGCTAACCTAATGCATTTCAAGAATCTCAAATGGTGCCCCTCAGCACAAACACACACTTGGCATTTTCATTCTTGTCTTGTATTTATTAAAGTACTTGAAATCCCACCAACACTATGTTGGGGGGCGCGGGGGGGGGAGAAACAGAAAACAATCTCAATGCCAGAGACTTCTGTGACCTAAAAAAGAGAAAATTGGAGCATTTTTCAGCATCACTCTATTATATAATACGACTGCAGCTAATCTAACCTGTGGTGTTATAATATTACCATGCTTTTACATCAGGTCAGTGTATAGGGAATGCAGAGTCCATTAAGGCTTCAGAAAATAATGCATCATGATTACAGTGTAACAACTCAAAAGCAATGCGCATTTAATATTGATTGACGGCTGGCGCTGTCTCTCTGCAGGAAGTACAATAACTCCCAACTATGTTGACAACTCCACGTCCAGCGTAGCCCCATGGTGCTCATGCTCAGCCAGTGGGAGCCAGAGAGAAGAGTGTGAGAATTTCCTGGGATATTTCACAGACAACATCTGTCTCAGTGAGTGCTACCTTTTTACTCTAATGTCAACAAAGTAGTGCACAGACTCAGGTTTTTGTTGTAGGATTGTGTTCATTTAGAGATATTTGGGAATAAATCATTAGACTATGCTGTTGGCAGCCTGTTTAACTGGTGACATGTGGTTCAAAAGAAAGGGTTAATGCGCCTTTATTGTAAGTTTTGGTTTATAAATTAACCCTTGCTTGTGTAATGTCAATATTTTTGTTACTCTGCCAACATTTATTGTGTTATTAAATCAATACAACCACAACCATCCATCCATTCTCTTCCGCTTATCCATGTCAGGGACTTGCTGGCGCTGAAGCATTTCCCAGCCGCCACGTGGCGAGACGCGGGGTACAACCATAGCAGTTTATGGATGTTTACTTTTTCTCAATGGCAAGCATTGGAGACCACATGTATGGTTAATATTTAGAATTTACCGCTGTTAAAACACACGTATGTACAGAAGTGATACTCGTGACAAAATGTAAGATAAGATAAGATAACCTTTATTAGTCCCACACGTGGGAAATTTGTTTTGTCACAGCAGGAAGTGGACAGTGCAAAAGTTATGAGGCAAAAATTAGGATACAATAAGAATAAATACAGTACACAACTGTACAGGATAGAATAAATAAAATACTATATACAGTGGAATAAAATAAAATAAATATACAATAAGATAAAAATAGAATACAAATACAAATGCTATATACAACTGATGAATGAAAAAAGAAAAATCAATCATAATCAAGATATACTGTAGGCAGAAAGAAATATGTTTATCTTGAACAAATATAAATGAAGGAAGGTTTTCTGGTAACTAACTGTTTACTTCTGTGAAACGGACTAGATTAGTGCCACTCTGGAAAACAAATAGCCCGTGTCTGCCGATCTATACGACACATGAGGGACTATTTTGCTGTGTCTTGCATATGTATTTCCTACACTTGATGAAAGTATACTGTGACTGCCTGCCCATTTTGTTTTGTCACACATTGCAGCTCTTATATATTTGTTGTCACTGGATCTAGAGCAGAATTTAGAACAGGGAACATTTCTTGATAGTGATGAATTTTAGTGGCATCTGGGATGAAAAGTTCTTAATCAGATTTGAGGTCCTGGTCATGGTTGCACCATGCTGGCAGTTCTGCGGGGTCGCTCATTCCTTGGGGAAGAAGGCCAATCAATTTCAACAGTTTTCTCTCCTTGCTGGTGTTGGGCTTGTTCTCGGCATAAATTATGGTCAAGCTCATCCTTGTCATATGCATTGCTATACCTTAAACGGTTGAGCACAGGGGTGTAATTTCCAGGGGGGTTATGACCCCTCCAATATAACCCCCTCAATAAAATTATGAATTATTTTGCATAAATAGGCTGTTGATTTTCTTTCCCAATTTCAGGTATTACCAGCAAAATAGTTGCATGTTTAATCATCTGGCAATTTACCCAGATTGTTACACCCCGGCCTAGGCAACCGGCGTGCAACACAGGGAAAATAAAAATAAGGGGAAAAGAACAAAACAAAAAAAACTACTACGGGTCTCCACAAAAAAATCCCAAAACGAAAGTATCGACAACTATTTACATCAAAGCAAACTAAGACATTTCTTTACATCAAAACACCAAACTATTTACAACCGGGGGGAAGATCGCCAACCTGACAAACTGAAACACAGGGCTTAAATACATAGAGGGAGCAATCAGGGAATGGACAACAGGAGGGAAACACAGCTGGGGCAAATCAGAACTGACGAGACAAGGAAGAGTAAACTGAACACACTGAGATAAGACAGACTTTCAGAGTAAAGCAGGAAACACATAACAGTCACGCCTAAAACAAAACACTGAAACACCGAATCGTAACAAGATTTATTTATTTATTTAGACAGAGAGTTTGACTCTGCCCCAGACCATTTCCTATGGGTTACCCCCCACACACATACACTCCTTCCCCACCCTTCTAACTAGAGTTTACACTGTCCTATCCAATAAAAGCAAAAGGCCTTGCATTCATTATCTTCCAAATTCGCCTCTCTTCTACAATTTCTGAGTTCAAAATCTTTTCACTGTCTTGATGGATACACAGTAACACAGGCAAAGTGCTGCGTTCCACCACTGACTTGCAGTCGATTTGAGTAGTTCCCAAAAAAGAGGCTAAAGTGTGCAGGATGTACAGGATGACAGGTGTAAGTGCATGAAATGTAACACTGTTGGAAACTTGTGCAGGAAAATCAGGAGCAAAGATGAAAATGGACATGCATGCAGGTACACATATACAAACAAATACACCCTGCTCCATCCACCCACTCAGTGTTTACAGAATGCAGTTAGGGGTTAAACTTCAGGGAGACTTACTGGGGATATTAACAATTTTGCTCATTTATATTTCATATTATATTCACTATATAGTACATTACTTTATGTGAAATTGAACTGCATCTGGCACAGGTAAAAAGACAGAGCCTGCAACTGTAGAGCTGAAACAAATCCTGTTTTCCCAAATTGCTGGCTCGCTCTGATTTCTGTGGTTTCACATCCTTCCACTTAACTCCTGGTTGAGCAGTGTAATTTCATTTGTAAGATAAAACACAAAAAATGAATTTTGTAATCAGTATAATTTTCACTGATAACCTGTAATACAGGACATTCAAGGGGCTTGATATGAAAACCAAATTAAGCTCCATGGCAGGCATAATGATAGGATGGAGCTGCTGGGATTCAGTGAGAAAAATGTTTTCCAGCATACTTCATCACTGGCACAGAGAGAGATGTGTTTAAATCAAGGGTCTCTTTGTAAAATTCAGAGTGTGCTCTTTCTCACTCCCTCTGGTTCATTCTTTCATTTATGAATGAAACAAAACACTTTTTTAAATGTTGCACGATCATTTGCACTTTATGTGGTTTCTTGGTAATTCCAAGCAACCCTGTAATTATTAGCCTATTTAAAACGTATATCTTATTTAAAGAACTGATGGAAAATAAATGCTGTTGAAGATTTTGGAAAATTTTAATTCCCCAGGTGCGTTAAAGTGATCAAAAAAGAGATAAATGTGCAAAAGCACTGTCTACTGACCAATCAGTGCTCAGGAAAATAATCACACCATTCTTGGAAGATCCCTCAGACCTTGGTGGGTGGGTAGAAAGACGCTTTTCTTTGCAAGCTCCTTTGACTACGATGACCTGGATGACTGAGAACCTTCACAGACATAAGATATCAAGGTCTAAAGAACAATAACATTACTTTAAAATTTCTAGTAGCCCAAGAGAAACAAACAAACAAACAAACAAAAAAAGGGATAAAATTGTGTCTAAGAATTTGTTTCTTGCTCACCTCTGAAAGAAAAAAAAAGAGTTTAGAAAAGGAGTGGGCAATTAATTTTCTCAAGGGGCCACATGAGAAATTGGGACTGCCCCGTGTATCTTATGGAAGCTCTGGAAAACTAATAGTCCTTTCCTGCTTTAGATACTTGTAAAAACCTCTTTCTTAAAGAGAATCTTAAAGATTCTTTAAAGATCTGATTGATATCTGATCTTTAAAACAGAGCACCTATTTGTACTATACTATCTATACTATCAAATTAGCGAGTATAGGCTGCATTTGAACTTTGGTTTTATGTTTATTCTTTTAACTTACTCTTCATTGTTAATTTAAAGGTATTTTACACACATCTGTACATGCATTTACTGTAATCTGCCAGGTTCTCCTGTTATTTAAGAGGGAAACAATGCTGATACGTTTGTTGACTTACGTAGTGAGCATTTTGTTGTTTACCTTTATAAGATAACATAGGCCAAACTTTATTTTTATAGTGTTGCTAACCAAAGTGCTTGAAGCTGTTAAACTAAAGTACACTGACACACTCTTTGATTATCTGTAGCCATGTAACAAGGATGCTACAGCTTTCCTTGCAGAACTTGCTGATATTTGTTGAAATGTCTATATACAGGGAGTGCAGAATTATTAGGCAAATGAGTATTTTGTCCACTTCATCCTCTTCATGCATGTTGTCTTACTCCAAGCTGTATAGGCTCCAAAGCCTACTACCAATTAAGCATATTAGGTGATGTGCATCTCTGTAATGAGAAGGGGTGTGGTCTAATGACATCAACACCCTATATCAGGTGTGCATAATTACTAGGCAACGTCCTTTCCTTTGGCAAAATGGGTCAAAAGAAGGACTTGACAGGCTCAGAAAAGTCAAAAATAGTGAGATATCTTGCAGAGGGATGCAGCAGTCTCAAAATTGCAAAGCTTCTGAAGCGTGATCATCGAACAATCAAGCGTTTCATTCAAAATAGTCAACAGGGTCGCAAGACGCGTGTGGAAAAACCAAGGCGCAAAATAACTGCCCATGAACTGAGAAAAGTCAAGCGTGCAGCTGCCAAGATGCCACTTGCCACCAGTTTGGCCATATTTCAGAGCTGCAACATCACTGGAGTGCCCAAAAGCACAAGGTGTGCAATACTCAGAGACATGGCCAAGGTAAGAAAGGCTGAAAGACGACCACCACTGAACAAGACACACAAGCTGAAACGTCAAGACTGGGCCAAGAAACAGGAAGAAGTCTGCATCCTTCAAGAAAAACATGATTTTCATGCAGGACAATGCTCCATCACACGCGTCCAAGTACTCCACAGCGTGGCTGCAAGAAAGGGTATAAAAGAAGAAAAACTAATGACATGGCCTCCTTGTTCACCTGATCTGAACCCCATTGAGAACCTGTGGTCCATCATCAAATGTGAGATTTACAAGGAGGGAAAACAGTACACCTCTCTGAACAGTGTCTGGGAGGCTGTGGTTGCTGCTGCACGCAATGTTGATGGTGAACAGATCAAAACACTGACAGAATCCATGGATGGCAGGCTTTTGAGTGTCCTTGCAAAGAAAGGTGGCTATATTGGTCGCTGATTTGTTTTTGAATGTTTGAAATGTATATTTGTGAATGTGGAGATGTTATATTGGTTTCACTGGTAAAAATAAATAATTGAAATGGATATATATTTGTTTTTTGTTAAGTTGCCTAATAATTATGCACAGTAATAGTCACCTGCACACACAGATATCCCCCTAAAATAGCTCAAACTAAAAACTACTTCCAAAAACATTCAGCTTTGATATTAATGAGTTTTTTGGGTTCATTGAGAACATGGTTGTTGTTCAATAATAACATTATTCCTCAAAAATACAACTTGCCTAATAATTCTGCACTCCCTGTATATAATGTTTTTTAAAACTGTAACTCTCAGACACTCTCAGCTGACACAACATAAATTAGTCACCATTGCCATACATGTATTTGCATTATGTCTTTCTCTAGTCTCTTTGTTTTCCATGCAAATTTTTAAACTTCCTCTCTTTCCTTCATATTTTTATGACCTCTGCTCTGGAGTGTGAATAATGAATGTCCTTATTACTGACCCTGGCAAGCATATATCTATCACAGAACCTGTACACATTGAGAATATCTTTGGCCAGTCTTTCCTCGGGCCCCCTGCCTAGAAAAGATACAGAGACGTCTCACAGTTATTTGGCCAGTGCAAACGGTCTAAGTGTTAATGAGGTCGATGTGGAGAGGCAGGTGCAGTTTGGATGCTTGAAGAGAATACTGAGTATTTTCGCCTTTCTTTTTTCCTTTTCTCCTATGCTGTCCAAATCCAAACTGGCCTTGGCCTAGGAGAACCTCTTATGCAAGATTTACAACGCAGAACAGGAGGCATCTGTCATGACTGAATAAGACATGAATGTAACTCAATGAAAACACCAAGGTGCTGCTGCTGAGGAATAGTAACGTTTTTTACTGCTATATCTAATGTTTCAGGTAATGCGTTCATGATGTTTGGAAGGGAATCAGACCAACAGCCGACTCACAGCCAGTACAGCACAACCAGCCAAGGCAGAAGAGAAAACAGCAGCACCACCTCTCCACCCGGAACCATAGAAACTATGAGGAACATTCTGGATACAATAATACCAACGCAGGTGTGCAGTTTTCTCGTCATTCTTTTCTTGCACCTCTACAAAATCCCACGTTTAGAAGTGAACCATTTCTGGCAAAACAACTTTCTCAGATGTGCAACATCGTAGGCTTCTGAAATTATTTTGTACAGGACCGAGACAACGACAGTGAGATTTGTTGCTGTCTGTGTTATTGTTTCAGCTGCTCATTTTCCGTATTCCAAATGGAATTTGTCTGCTGAAAAATGACATAAATCGTGTTAATATGACCATTTTTTTTTAAGGTATAAACATTTGAATTCACCTCCAAAAGTTGATTCTGTTCATCAGTATTCGTCACTCATCAGTCTGAAGCCGTCACTTGGATGAGTGACGAAACGTTTCTCCCACTGAAAACGCTTCGTCCAGATGAACAGGATCAATTTTTGGAGTTTTACTTACCTGGATGATTGAACATGCATCAAGACATTTGAATTCACCCTTATATAGGACCATCATGGGACACTTTTATAACTAATACTGCTGCTAATACTTGCATTAGGCAACACAATACTAGCCAGATAATACCCTAACCAAGCTGACATGGGGTGCTGATTAGGAAGTCTCGAAATAAGGTTTACCTTTTTGTTAATTCATTTCAGTGCAAATAAATATGTAGTGCATTTTAACTTCTGCATACACATACAGCACAATAGCAAGTTCACGCTCTTTATTCAGAATGAGAAGTATAAAAAATACTGTTTTCATTGCCAAGTGATGATCTGTGGCGCCTAGGTTAAATTTTATTCATAAAAATGTAAGTTGCACACATAAATATTCAATGGACCACTGCAGCTAGTCTTTGGCACATCCATGTGCACCAGGCTATGCATGTTCAAGGTCCAATGTAGCACTGCAGCCAGCCATTTTTCTTGGGGAGGACATTAAGTATAATACATTACAATATAATATATTACATTTTTGACTATGATCACCTAATCTGACACAGAAACCATTTCAAAACACAATTGTGTGTGTGTGAGGGTCTTCTCACTGCATTTCAGCAGTGGAAGCAGCTCTTGCTTCCACTTTAGCTTTACTTCAGTCCTTACGGTGAACCACAAGCAAAGCTAAATTGTCCTTTTTATTACTTTTGTGAATATAGCCACATTACAAATCCCTAAACAGGTACAATAATAGATAGATTCTAGTTATAGAAAGATCTTTGTACTTATGTACCATTAAGCTCTACATTTTTGCTCACTTGTCTTTAGGCTGAATCCTTTTCTCCCTTTCTCTATGTAAAAGCAAAGTTTAAAGGTATCATTAAGTTTGTCCTGTGATTATTGGTAGCAGCAGGAGAGAATGGACTGGTACTTACAGCGTGTCTGTTTGAGCACTCAGACTGCTTTCTTACTACAAGTCTCATTTAGCCACACAGTTATGCAGCACTTCGCCTTGCATAAGACACACACACACACACACACACACACACACACACACACACACACACACACACACACCGCTGTCTGTAGGAGAGTCCCAGCTGATAGGGTTTTTCACGGTGCAGCTTTAAACACATTTTTCCCCCGAGTTGCTGCCTGTATTTGCATTGGGAAGTGCAAATTTGGGCTACATTGCTTCACTGCATAGCTTTTGTATACAATGATGATAACTAAAAACTTTACTTTGAGTGTCTTGTTGTGAAATACGAAAATAAATATGTAAAAATTCAATGGGAGTGGCACAAGATAGATTTAAGGCAAACTGGTTACTGAATAGTTTATATTGAGATGTACTTTAGGTAGAGATGTAGTACAGAAGCTGCAGACGACTGCTGAATAGCAGGTTCCAATACAGACTAGACCAGGAGGTGGGGGGGAAACAATCAAATGAGCACATCAGGTATGAACCACATTCTTTGAAATGTTTGTGTAGCTCCCACAAAGTCCAAGTATTTTAATTTTACTGAAAATGAAAAGAGAAATTTCAAAGGTGAAAGAGATCAATTTGTATTTGACAAGAGATGACACAAGGACATTAATTCATATCTGTGTTTGGCACCTAATCACTAATCTGCTTTTATATGAGCAGTAATGACACATGAAACTCAAAGCGTTTACAACAATTAAAGAGATTGGAAGTCATGAAAAGATGAAAAGACTAACTTCCCTGTCTCTTTCCAGGTCTTGGGAAATGAATTACTGGTGGGCCACTCCACCATGTCATCTAACAGTCTCCTAAACGCTGCCTCACCTCACAGTCTAATGCTTCAAGCTGCCTTCAGCCTTCTGTTGCTACTCCTTCAAATCCTTATCAATGAACGCTAAAGGGGGGCATGCCAAGGATTCTCCTAGTACCAAGCAAATGGGAGCACCTGTGCAGTTCAGAGGAAGTGGACCATGTGGCGTTATTCCTCCCTCTAAATTTGTACAGCGATTCTGTTCTTCTATTTTTCTGTCTAAATAGTCCGGTTCCACCTGTCAGAGTTCTCATTCTGAGTGTGGGAGCCTTTGACAGACAGATGCCTGTCTGTGCATTTGTATATTATTGCGATCAAGCTGAGATGAAGTCAAGGTGCTGCTTCTGTGGACTAGCTAAGTTTTCAGCTCTCTGTGTATCTCTATTCAGTTATAATATAACACATGTGTATGATATTTAGACATGAAGTATGTACTGTGAAGATTTGTATTACAAACAGAGGCTCTTGTTTAAATATGGTTCTGAAAAATGACTGGAGAAAACTTTGTATGTGCTCTGTGGATAAAGTGTTCAGAAAGCTGCTGTCTCAACTGAGTGAAAGAGGACCATTATACCTGACCAATACTGGAACTGTTGAGCAACCAAGAGACAACAGAGCTGCAGTTCACTCAGACATCCTGGACTAATGCACTGATTCCAAAAATGTCTAGCACAACTATCAAGAAGAGATGTGGCGAGAACATAAGAAAAACCTTGACATCATCATCATCATCTTTTCCATTGAAACTGTCCCTTTCTCAAACTCCCCAGCAACATTTCACTTTTTATCGCTAAAACCTCAGAAGCTGTTGATAGAAAATAGAAGTCCTTGGTCTTTATCAGCGAAGGTGACTTCTGGGACTTGAAAGGAAATAACCAGAGAAGCTGAGACTCTTTACCTGTAGCTGCTGTGCTTTGTGTTTGTGAGTGCAATGGCCCTTTGTTTCTCATTGTGTAAGTGACCATTTCTATACAGAGCTCTGAATTTTTGTGCCGGAGAACAAAGGGAATGGTTTTACTTATTGAGGTGTCACCTACACCAGTAGGGAGCCTGTTAGAGATTTGACAGTAATGAATGATTCAGTATTTCCTGTCTGGGAACATGCCAACCAGAGTAGCAGCAAATAAAAGTTCTCCGATCATTATGAATACATTTTGCTATTATTCAACCTTTTCTAATTAAATTAGCAATGTTTAGTGCTGTTGAAGTTAACACTATTAGGTTACAATTTCACTCCATATTTTTTACACTCACCAGAGTTTGAGAACCACGGACAGCTAAACTAACAGTCATAAAACCTATGAGGTACTATCAAGTAAATATTTGTAGTAAGAATATAACAGGATTTACATAATAATTCAGCCCTTTTGACAAAGTCTGATCTGTCTTAAGCCGATAAATTGCTTCATATTGGAGATGCGCTTATATCTTGCTTCGAATTCCTTAACGGCTATTTGAAAAACAAATTTTAAAGGCATTCAATATATTAATGATACATACTTAAATAAGTTAATTATCTGAAAACTGTATTGATTTTTGCTGCACTTACTAGCTATTACCAACAGTAGATACAACTAGTGCTACATGTTACTGCCAAAGACCAAATAAGAAAATACAAAATTCACTAATTTGCTATACCATCATAGCTGAACATGTTGCAAAACACATATTTTTTAAAGGAAAGCCCTTATTCATAAGAGGCTCAACAGAGTAAACACACACACACACACACACACACACACACACACACACACACACACGAATTGCCGTGAAATGACTATTTTTTTCTGAGAATCCTGAATAGCTTTGAAAACTGGAACTGCTGTAATGCTCAGCAGTAAAAGTAAAATCTGGCTGATTTGCTGATTTCTGCAGATGGTCACTATAAACATTCGTCCTTTACCAGTATTTACATTTTGCATTTGGTTTAAACAGAAAATTATCGGTATTCAATAAGCTGTGACATAAAATGCTGAATTATCTTGTTGTTAGCATTGTAAAAATTGCAAAATGAATTAAATTTGCATACATTTATGGAATATAACAAATGCCAACACGTTTTGGGGTTTTGTTGATTCACTGCATACAGCCGGCTAAATGAATGCGTGTTTGCTCATAATTGTGTGCAAAATGAAACATTTCCAAACACTGCCATGATAAAATTCAGTGTGCTTTTTACTAACACTTATGAGTTTAATCTTTGAATGGAAGTAAAGATCATTTACATCTAAATTAGAGACAAACTGATTTTTAAGACAGAAAGCAATGCCAATATTTCATGATGTTCTGATATAAATGAGTCAATTTTTTTCAGACACATATAAATGCTGATAGATATTGGTTAAGCAAATTGCTAATATCAACCAATAAACTGTTGTAGGCCTAATCCAGCTATTTATGTAAAAAAGAAAGAAAGAAAGAAATTAGCAGGATTAGAAATATTCATTGTGCCTGTTGCCAAACCTCTTCAACAAACAAGAAAACTTCAAATATATAAATAGCTATAAATTGAGTTAATTGTAAAGTTGAAATAAAGGTCATTTGACTGAACTTGCTATGGTGAAACTCTGCTTGCAGACAAAAACGGAGCTTGATAATCATTAGCTCAAGCTGATGATCATGCACCATCTAACAAATTGTTAGTGTAGGTGTTGGAAATGCAAATATTATTGTTGCAGTTATATGTGGTAATAAGTCCAAGACAGAATCAAAGTTCATAGTCATCCCCTGACTAGCTACTCATTTTGTTAGCGAGGCTAAAAATAGCAATGGACTAAATTACCTTTGCAAACATTGCAAGCAAGACTGGGTACACACACACACACACACACACACACACACACACACACACACACACACACACACACACGTAGGTAGTGTGGTAGCTTTTATTAACCTGTATATGCCTCACATATGTCTACTTATTATTTTGAGGATTTGTTACACTATGACTAGGATAGTTCTGCTAATCAGAAGCTTGGTGGTTGGACCTCTGGCTCCCTTAGTCTCGTTGTATCTTTGGGTGAGACAGATGATTGAGGAAAATGATTCAAGTGCTCAAAAGAAGTAGAAAAGTAATAGTTATATATAATATTAAAATTCCAGTCTATTTTGGCTCAAAAATATCCCTTTTTGTCTGATAATTTGAAAACGTCTTAATGGCAACACATATTGTATTAAACAAATCTTTGGGAAAATTGTCAACACACAAAAATGAGACTAACTACTTATTTGACTATTAAACTTTCTTTGTGTTGTTTTGAATAATAAATGATTATTACTCTTAAAATGATACAAAGTTACAAGTTTAGTTATCCCTAATGCGCTACTTTTTTCTAATTAGTAACATAAAAATTCCCAAAGATATTAAAGATTAACATTATGCTTTGCAAAACCTATATGTCAATATTGACCCAGAACACCATTTCAACAGAGATTCCTAATCTGAAGAATTTTACTCTCTGATTAAATACAATTTAAAAAACAGTCACACATAGTAGAACTGCTGTACAATGTCATGTTTGCCTTTTTTCTACAGCACTTTTGTCCTTTTCTATGTCTTCTATGTCCGTGTTATTTTAAATAATTAAAAATAAACAGGCAGAGATAAAAGAACGATAGGCTGGAAAGTTAACAAGGAGAAAAAAATAATCAGGTAAATCCAATTTGTACAAGACTCAGAGTTATGACTGCAGATGAAAGTCCCCACTTATGATAAAAAAATGTGGAGCCTACAAAGCTCTTTATCAGAACTAAATGAAGAATACAACACTTGTTTGCATCATCGTGCAGTTACACCGTAGGAATGTATAATGAAGTCAGTGGAGTGACCTCCAACATAATGCATGGCAGTGAGGAACAATGCTCATTTTAAAATTAATGTGGATGATAAACAGATTGCTGTGATTATATCAGAACTGCTCAGCTGATTTATACCAGACTCATTACTCCATGAGTGATGCATTTTCATTTTCAGTGTGCAGCGTCGTGGAAAAAACAAACCCAGTTTAGAATCATCTCTTATCCCTGATGACCCATAATGCAATTTGTCAAACTGGAACTTTACTTCTTGTAATATTGGTCCTTTAATATCTACAAGAAAATTAAAAAAAATCCTAAAGAAAGTTTAATGGAGCTCTGGAAATGTCAAATGCACACCTCCACGTGCATAGAGCTTGCATGTTTACTCTTGCTGAGTTTGTCACAGGAAGGTTTTGCTAATAACATTGTTCCATATAGCATAGCTTGTTTTGCAGTCAAAAAGATGGCGGTTTCCATAAATATAAAGCAGTCCTACATTGACTTAAACACAATCTAGGATCCCACCGACAAGACCTTTCTGTGTAGGCAGTGAATAACTGAAAACTTATTATTGGACACTTTTATTTTTTTATTCGTTTATTTTTACATATAAAGATGGATTTTAAAAAAACAACTAATAAAAGATATTCAATGTATTTTGACAAATGCAGCCCACTTTTACTTTACACATAGTGTTTTCTATGTCCATGCAACCAAGGCTTGCTGGAAAGTGGCTGAAAGTCAATCCCACAAACACTAGAAGTTGGCTAACTAAAACCTGAACGTTATAGTAGAGTGCTGCAGTGTGCAGTATAATAGAGATTAACTATAATTTAAATCATTTAGCATAAAAGTATAACATTGCTTTGGATGTTTAGCGTTCAAAGCAGTGTTTTATATTAAAGCATTCAAATCTACAAGTGGCCAGCTGTATCCTCGGGTGGGACGCTGGGAACTATGGGAACAATGGCCTGTCTGCAGCTTGTCAATAACAACAAGTGTTTAAGTGTACTTGGCACTAGGAGACCTTAGGTAACAGGCTGATGGCTGTTTGTCTTAATTGTAACATTAGACCTGAATTGGAATCAGATAGCAGAGAAAAAGACTGAGAGGTCTGCTTGGCAGACTGGGATGTCCTCTCACCTCTGACAGAAGTCGTACGCCATTCCAAGGGAGGCAGGAGACACTGAGTCTGGCTGAGCAAACGGAGGTGGTTTGGGCATCATTCTCGGATGCCTTCCATGTGAGCCATGTCCATGAGATGAGATGCCAGGATACACTGGGTAGATTGTGTCCTTCAACGGGACTCTATTCAGTTACATGAAAACCTATGTCCACCCTTCCTGCTTGCATAGGAAATAAGAGGGTAAACAGCAGACAAGGGCTGCTAATAAAATGGATTTGATCAACTGATTAATCAGCAAGTGTGACCATAGTCCTCCCAGGACTGGGCACTCCAGCAAATGCTCAGAGAAACTGCAGATACAACCCAAGAGCAAAGAGCTACAGCTCAAACTATACAGGCCTGTATAGCATGTTAAATGTTAAAGTTCATGAAAAGCTTAGAAAAAGCAGGTGGCCACATGCCACATGGTCAGAGTGTCAGAGTCCAGCCTGTGACCCTTTGCTGTGTGTCTTTCCCCTCAATAATGTTATTTTTTTTAAAAAGATAAAACTAAATATAATATTTCAGCTGTAGAGTGGCACAAGGCAGAGCTTAAAGATATTTTGCCTACACTTGTCTTCACTGATATTATCAGTGGACAATCATGACAATGAGATGGATTATCTGATATCTGGACAGACAACTTATTGAAAAACACAATGACTTTATCTTAAATAAACTCCGCTCTAGAACCTCTGTAGTTTACTTAAGTATTTAAATTAATGTCCATACTTTTAATTTAGGACATAAAAGTGATAATGAATTACTTGCAAATTAATTGTTACCTTTTTACACCAAGGAATTTATATCATATTCATTATTACCAATTACAGCAACTTGATACATTTGTAGTATGTGCTAAAATCCATTTGCTGCTCACTTAACACATTTCCAGGACCCCACTTGTGCCATACAGTGCCTATTGGAAACTAACATATCACTCTCACTCAGTGTTGGGGAGTAACGGAATACATGTACCGCCGTTACGTATTTAAAATACAAAATATGAGTAACTGTATTCCGTTACAGTTACCGTTTAAAAAGGTGGTATTCAGAATACAGTTACTTTGTTGAAATAAATGGAATACACTGCGGTACTTCCTGTTTCATATTGTGGCGGGTCAGGACTGTTTGGGTTTTGTTTCACAGCTACGTTCTGTTGTTCCAGGCGGCAGTGTTACGGTTGCCATGGTTACAGGGTGACGTGCTCTCCCTGTAACCATGGCAACCGTAAGCATGTAAATATAATAATAAC